TTTCAATGTTCTATTGTACTTAATGTACACTAGATCATTGAGACGCGATAGTGCAATTCTTTCAACAATGCTTTCAAACAACTTATACATTTTGGTGGAATCGGTAGATTCATTGCTAGCATCAACAGAACCAAGAAATACACTACCGATTGGAGAATTCACCAAAATATTGATGATCATTTTACCATTTCGTGCCGTCCATTTGTCCATCATAATGGAGCATCCAAACTTTGTTCATTGCACTTTATGCTCATCAACGATTTTTTTCACTTTCTCCACCTCTTTTTTTGGGTGAGTAACTCTAACTTCATGAAATGTAGGAGGCTTCATTCCAGGGCCATGTTGTCCTACTGTCTCAATAAATTTATCAAATGATTTGTGATTGACAGAATTAAAAGGGAGCCCCGCATCATACATCCATATTGCGAAAGTACTTACCGCATGCTCTCTTAGAATTCACTTTGTTTCATCAATTCCTTCTCCTTTTTCAAAGCCTCCTTTTTGTGTTGATTTATGTGGAAAATAGAGATTCATAGGGCCTTTCGTCACATTCCGTGCGGTGGATGATGCACCTCCACTAGAAGATATCTTTGGAGTTTTGGAGGGAGGCTTCATTTCCGCATATTCATCCATATCATCAACATCATCAATATCAATATATTCTTCCGGCTGCCTCACTTGAAATTTGGGATTATTAGCGATTTTATTTTGCATATAAGCCCTTACTTCTTCTCTAATCTCCGACGGACAAGCTGTACATTGTTTAACATTCATGAAACCACCCACTAGATGTTGTTTGTGTCGAGTTATTCCACCATTAAAAGTACTCCCACAAAAGTTACAATTAACCGAATCTTTCGTTGCTCCTTGAGTACCATAATTCCATCCAATATCCCTCTTTTTGCTAGCATCCGCCATTGAATTGACTATTGTACAATACAACATATACTATATTAATTAGTAATTACTATTAATTACAATAGAAGAATTTTTTTTAAAATAAAATAATAGACAACACAGTAAAAGGCTGAAAGCAGTAGCATTCAACAGCATATTACAGTGAAGAAAGAAAACAGAGGAAAAAAACAGAGCATTGAAGAAAAAGAGGAAACAAACAGAGCATATTACAGTGAAGTGTGAACAAAGAAAACAGAGGATAAAAATAGAGCATTGAAGAAAAAGAGGAAACAAACAGAGCAGTCAGCAGAGAAGGCAGAAAACAATAGTATCTCAATTTTTATTTTTTTTGAGAAAGAAGTTCAGGATTTCAGATTTTCTTCACTAGAGAATTGCGAGATTGAAGGAGAAAGTAAGAGAAGAAGAGGACTGAAGGAGAAGAAGAAAGAAAAGAAGCCATACCTTTCAATTCGCGCGAGTCAACTGAAGGAGAAGAGAATCGCGAGGTTGAAGGAGAAGCAGAATCGCGTCTGAGTCCCAATTTTGGAAATATGAAAAAAAACCCTAATTTTGACTAATATTATTAAGTCAAAACCTTTTTAAAATTTTAATACTAAAAGGCGCCGCCATTCACGTCGCCTTTACGTCGCCTCACGTCGCCTAACTGATCTCGCCGCGCCTCACTGGGAAATGGCGCGACATCCTCGCCTCGCCTCGCCTTCTCTCCTTTGGCGAATGGCGAGCGCCATTAAGAACACTGATGGAAAGAGAAGTACACTATGCATATGTGGTTAGATGAAACAAGACATAGTGGTGGATAGGGGTTAGCGTTCAGTTCTTCGGTTATTTATTACTCCATCCGTCCCATTTTATGTGAGGTAGTTTGACTCGGCACGGAGTTTAAGAAAGAAAGGAAGTACTTTTAAAACTTGTGGTCTAAAATGAAGGATAAAAAATTTGTGTGGCTGTAAATCATTTCATTAAGGGTAAAATATACATTTTATAGTTAAATTGTTACTTAATATAGAAATGTGTCATTCTTTTTGGGACTGACTAAAAAGGAAAGTAAGTCACATAAATTGGGACAGAGGGAGTAGTACATACCGTATACTGAACTGAAATTCATTTGTTTCTAATTTTTTTCTTTTGTATGGGCCTGATTAATGTGTTATTAATTGATGCAAAAATAGCTGATCTCTGCCAGTACACACCTCTTTACCCATCAGTTTAATCTCATTAAACCAAAAAACTTTAAATCTTTGTTTATTTTTTGTAGTTACTACTAGACACTGGTCATAATTCTATCCATAATTATTCTTTTTACTTTCTCCTTCCTTCATGTACATTATTCCACTTTGTTGCTATCAAATGCTTTAGTCTCACTGTGTTTTCATTCTTTTATTTTTATTTTTATTTTTATTTTGTTTATAAATACACGACTAAGAAAAGCGAATTGGATTTGAACGAAACTTGGGAAACGAAATAGATTTCAAATGAATATATTCTCCTGTTCTAATTCTTACTTGTTTGGTTTCAAGTTATATTTTGATCCAGTAAATTATATTAGTTTAAGCCCCTTTTTAAAATTTATTGAATGAGCCATTTTAAATTCAAATTATTGGGTCAACTCAACAATAGATCATGATTCAACCCGTTAAAATATTGAGTGAATTGGATGAATTATGTAGGTTTAGTTTAGGGGTGACAAATGGGCGGATTGAAAATGGATTGGATTGCTATCCATCCATACGAATATGTGTAAAAATGGATTGGGTAAGATAAAAATTGGGTAAAATGGTCCTAATCCACTTTAATCTTCTAAACCCAAAAAATTTATACATTAAACTGGTCAAGCTGAGTATTCTTTGTATGCAATTTGCTAACTGAAAATTTAAAATTTTCAACTTTCAACTGGTGCCTTAATTACTTCCTCTGCATTTGTCTGGCCAGTGGCCTCTGATCACTTCATAAATTCTACAAAAAGAAGAATGAGTCAGAAATACAGTAACAACAACATACCCAGTGAAATCCCACAGGTGAGGTCTGGGGAGGGTAGAAGGAGTCAGAAATGATAAAGGAAAAAAAGATATTTTAAAAAAACTACTGTAAGTGCGACACAACTGAGCTTGGAGCATATCACGCCCCCAGTGAGACATAATTGATATAAATCTAACTATAGAGTAAATGACTCAGCATTTTAACCTTTAAATAACTAAAAATGTGTGCTTTAATGTGGTCTACCGCCAGCTGCTCGATCAATAAGTTATGAAATACCGTCAAGTTATGTGTGACTTGTGTGTTATCAATATAATCTAACAAACAATGTTTATTGCAATATCTGATGCAAATAAAATGTGTTCACTTTCAATAAATTTAAATGAAAAAAACAGCTCAAAAATATATTAAAAAATTACTTTGAATCCATCCCAAATTAACGGAACAATTTTGTCATTTTCTCTATGCAACAGCCGACAAAAGTGGAGTTTAGTTGGGTGGGATAGTAGTAGTAGGGATTAATGGTGTAGGCAGCAGCGGAGCTAGGGTGGCAGGAGGTTCATCGGAGCCCCCTTCACCAGGAAAGTATACGGTATACGTAGGGACTAATATGATACTTCTGTGTGTATATTGCATATTGAACCCCCTTGGCATAACTTGAGAATCTATTTGGAATCCCCTTGATGAAAATTCTACCTTCGCCTTCGCCACTAGAGGTAGGGGGTGGATTAAATTAAGAAGGATAATTTGAATCAAAATCTGTAAATATTTGTTCATTGGTTAACGTTTTCCAAATTTTATTTTGAGAATGTAATCAAGTAGAGATTAGTGGTTTATCCATTTGGGTCCATGAAATATGACAGATTCATTTCTGAGTTCAAATATAAATACCCATATTTGTCCATATTTTTATGGTTTAAAAATAAACTGAAATCTATATTTACCCATTTGAAATATAAATGATCCAACTCATTATAATATGAGTTAAATGGACTGATTTTATAAATATGGGCTGAAATTGCCGGCTCTTATAATCTGCTCAAACTATAAACTAAACAAACTACTCATACCTCATGTGTTTCCCAATCATCTCCTATACATTCTAATAATTAGTAATTAATACTCCCTCTGTTCAACAATAGTTGTCCACTATACTATTTTGGGATGTCCAACAATATTTGCCCACTTTATGAAATCAATGGATAATTTTACACTTAGTTCCTAATTTACCCTTAACATTAATTATAGTCATTTTCCTATTACATTTTTTAAGACATTATATTTATTATATTCAAAGGATGATACAGTAAAATTACTCTTCTATTTATAGTTTCTTAAGAAGTGTGCAAAGTCAATAGTGGACAACTATTGTTGGACAGAGGGAGTACAAAAAAGATGAAAAAACTGCACAATGCAACTGGACTTAACCATTTGACTTTGACAATTAGAGGAATAGAAGCCCATCAGCTTATGATAAATGGGTGACGACTTCTCCTTATTTATTTCATTATAAGGAGAAGTCGAGAAGGTTTAGTTCTCATTTCCTTTAGTAATATCTATTCAATGTTTTGGGAGTGCTTTCATCTTCCAATACTTAATGTTGTCTTAACTCTTAAAATGTCTATGTTCATCTAATCAATCAAGCTAATCAACTCAAGTATTTTTATCTTAATGAATGCCAACATTCTCATCCTTTCTCTCAAATAATGGAGAATCTAAGGAGTTGTAGTTTTGAATAGTTATTTGCTAGAAATAAAAAATGTGCTTTTTGATGTGGTGGTCAAGCAGCAAGAAGATATACTTTTGGTGTGCGGATTACTTTTGAACTAATCTGAAATTATATATCACTTTCTTATTAAATGATCAATTATTCTTGAGGGAATTGTTGGACCTGTCTATTAAGATCCTACATTTATTATATTTACTTCGTATGTGGAAGCTCATTAAGATCCTATTTAATGCATTAACAACTAAAAGTTCGGTTGGGTACCCTATAACTGAGAGCTGAACCAAATACTGAAGTTGTAGAGAAAATAGAACCGAAACTGAACCAAAGAACCGAATACTGAAGTTTCAGAAAGAATAGATCCGAAACTGAACCAAAGAACCGAATTAGTTCGGTTCAGTTTGTTTTTTGGATATTTATGTCCACCCTTAGTGGTGGACATTCATCTTGCATTTCGGAACGATATCCTATGAGGTAAATGTACTTCAAGTGTATTTTTAAGTTAATATATAGCTTCAATCATATAAGAGAGGAAAAAAAGTTAGTATATAGGAATAATAATTAATGAATGCCAGTTAAATTCTCAGTAACAAGCAGGTAAACACACCTAAAAGAGAATAGGAAGCAGAAAGAGGTCATCGCCAGATTTCTCAATCATAATGGAACTGTTTCAACTTGTTGGGCCCATTCACATCAACATTATTCCATCTTCCATTCAGCTTGAGGGAACATATTTAGCAACCAGCCATAAATTCTTTCCTTTTCCTTTTTGGGAATTAGAAGTCTAAATTTCGATGTTTGCTAAATATTTCAAATACAACAAAGAATTGAATGAGAAGAACTAAGGATGGGCTATTGATTCACATGCTAGATGTGTGACGAACAGAGTGATAGTTCCATAGTGGAAGCAAATCTTGGTTTTCTTCTAGTTTTTGCGTCATAAGGCGGTTGTACCATGGTCTATGGTTCTCCTATATTTCACCCGCTAGTTATATATTGGATTGTGATGGGGTATAAGCAACTGTATGGAATGATATCGCAATTGTTACCTCTATTATGGTGGTTGTACTTCTTTAGCAATAGAACCATTGTGTAGTTTTGTCACTTTAGACTGTAAGGTAAACTTAAGTTAATATTGTGCGACACTGCTTCCCTGTTTGAGTATGCATGAGAATTCATGGCTTGTTTAAGCAGCTAATTTTTGACATTGTCATTAAGCTTATTAGTGCTTGGAAGAATAACATTAGCAATGTACTTATACAAAAAATATACATTAGCAACATGGCAAACAAAAGGGCAATTTTCCTGTGCTCTGGAACTACTGTCTACTAGCAGTGTAATGGCAGCACATTTAACATTTATTGACGTTGTTTTCCTGCAGATAATTGAGAAAGTGATTCCAATTGTGGAGAAGCGAAAACCGCCTCGTGTCCTGCGAAGAGTTTGCTCCATGCAGTGGTAATATATCATTGTGAGACGGGCATAGTTTAAAATTAATGCCTTCTGATATAGATAAAGAGTAAAGGAGCCTAACCATGCTGGGGGTAAGTGATATAACATCAGGATGGATAATTTAGCGGATGATGATTCTTTCTGAGTGGTAGTGCTTCCTTTGTAAAGAGCAGTATCGTGGCCTGGAAAATCTATAACGGGATCTAATATTTATGTAGTGGGGAGGGAGTTCATCGAAATCAAAACAATTATTTAGTTAGTTGTAGTTATAGGAGGTTTAGAATGCAAATGCCTCAACACAAGCATGGGAACGAGTGACTAATATTTTGTACTTTTTTTTTTGGTCAATGGCTCGTTATAGCATTTGCTAGCAAAAATGATCAATGATATGATCTCATGATTTTCTCCTGTGCTTGACATACGCGATGAAGTCATTGTATGCATCCCTATGCGTATGTTGGACTCTTTCATCATAAACAAGGAGTCATGTTTGTTGGGGCTAACAATTTTAAAGAGGACAAGGATATTATTATTGATTTGTGTCAAAATTTGGAGCAAAAAAGGAAGAGGAGAAAAGTTTGAAGGAAGTGAGTTGTTTGTAGTCCCTGGTACTTGGGACTGCACTCATGATTAAAGGAAAAGTAAATACTTCAGTCCCATCAATCTGTCACTTGTCTTGCCTCGCTATCATTTTATTTTTTGGTTTTGTTTGGTGTTTGGTATCTGCATTGGGATTTAGTTTTATTAGGGCTGCAAATTAGGTAGAAAAAACTGAAGACAGAATGGTCTGATAGACTTTTGTACTTGTATGAGTTTGTATTTTGGACCATTCTACTAGATCATTTGTCAATTGAACCCCTTTCATTGTGTGTGAACTTCAAACACTTGACAAAAATGACATATCATCATCCGCATCACTTATTATTTTTTTTTTTTTTAAAATCTATTTTTTCTTTCTTCTCCACTTCATTCCTCCTTCATCCCTGCACCTCTCTCCATTTTTTATTTTTTTTTGCATTAGAGATACCACCACAATCTTCCATTCTCACTAGTATCATTACATTCCTAAATAACTAACAATTATCATTCGATTTTTTTTTCAAAATTTCTTTCATTCACAACTTTTAATCGTATTTCTTTTACCAACATTTATATCTACCACTTGAACCACCATAAATCTCTTTTTCCCATTGATGTTAACGAATAGTCATTAAAATATATCAATATACTCTAATATTTGTACACAATTTTACATAACACATTTCACTTAATTTCACAAAGACGTTCAACAATCACTTTTCATCTTTCAAGATTGTTGAATCTTTTATCACTTTATGGGTTATAAATTACCCCAAAAACAAAAAAATACAAATCTACAACAACAATACAATTTTGTTCTATTCCCGAGAGGAAGAAAATGTGAAAAAAAAGACAAAAGAGAGAAACAAGAAACTGGAAAGGGCCGGAAAGGGGAGAAAGAAGAGAAATGGGGGTTTGAGAGTAGAAAGAAAAAAAAAAGAATTGGGGATGGGTGGGGTGGGAAAAGGAGAAAACTGAAAAAAAAGAAAATCTTTCACGCTCCATCTATGCGTGACATCACGCATTTGTGCCAACTCAATAATTAGTTGATACATAAGCTTAGTCAATGGTCAGAAGAGCTTAAAATATAGAGTTTCATTGAGTTTAAGGGTTCAGTTGACAAATAGTCAAATAGAAGGGTCCATCAGACCATTTTGCCAAAACTAAATTTGACAAAAATCCCTATCAAATTTACTAAATTTCATTATACTTTAAAATGATTACATAATTTCTCTCTCTTTCTCCTCCCCTTTCTCTCTCCCTCTTTCGCTACTTCTCTCCCCTCTTTCTGCTACGTAATTGATGTTGAACAATCGTTGAAGGACCACTAGTTAAAACATAACTACATCAAATGTATGTATTTGTGTAAACATATATGTATTTGAATAACTATATCTCTTGTATTCATCTTTAAGTATATACTTATGCATAAATTTGATATCAAATAGATAAATTTATACATAAATACATTACATTATATATATATATATATATATATATCAATACCCTCTCAGAACCTATATAATGTACTATGTACATATACACTTGATTTAATGCCTCACGCAGTCAAGACAAGGGCTTTTATAACCAAAAGCCAAAACATATACACCAAAGAATAGAGGACAAGTCATGTGTGCAGTGTGACAAATCTTAAATTGCATGCGTAATCTCCTACTTCCCTCTTCCTGTCTTTGTTCCCTATATTTGTTTGATAAATCTTATTTAAATATTTAAATTAAAACATATTCTAATTGAATATTTAAATATATGATAAAGTATTACTGTTATATTTTGAAAAAGTTTTTACGTTTTTCTTAAATGTCATTACAACGATAAATATAGTCCTCTATTAATTATACATTACACATCAACATCCATTTGAACGTTTGAGGTTTTACGTCTTATTCTTCAAAATGTGTATAATTAAAAGAGAATAACATAATTCAAGTGGTTAACTTATTAGTGTGATGGGCATTTAGAATATGCACAAACTCTTTCAAAATATTGAATTAAAAATGTCTAATAGAAATATTTTATCATATCTTTAGATCTTAATTGAATGTCTAAATGAAATTTATCGTAGAATTGTCAATCTATTTAAGCCTAAAATCTATGTATCTTTATTCTTTAAATTATTACAGGAGTATAACACAAATCAATTAGCAAAAGATGAAGCCCATAATGTGCCTCACTTATCTTCTTCCATTAAACCAAACAATATATCTGCTTCTGTTTCTGCCAAAAGAAATTGGAGAGTTCAAAAGGCTCTAGGAGAAGTACATGTTTTTGTCTTGTAGTTATTTGTCTTGGTATATACTTAATTGACTTTTTATACTTTTAATGTTTTAGGTCCACAAAAATCACACCCCCTTTATTTCTTTGTTAATATCTAAAAGCTTTTTAGTGCTCATATACTAGTAAAAAACAAAGTTAAAATTAAAAGAATAGTATATAATATATGATTAGTGGACATTACTAGAAACTAGCAAGTGTTTTAGAAGTAGTGCTAGTGTCTCATGCCTGTGGTAGATAGAGGCTTGGATTTCTTTTCTGGATCTTATCTTATAATAAAATCCAGTCTTTATGCTACTTTTTCACTGTGCTCTAGATTTACGTACGTTTGACCTATTTTTTTGACCTAGCTACTATACATTGGAAATAATTTTGGTTTAATTAACTTTGTATACTACTTCTCTGCTTTATATTTTATATGATGTAGTTTGATTTGATATCGAGTTTAAGAAATAAAGACTTTGAAAACTTTGTAGTCTAAAATAAGTGATAGATATTTGTGTGATTATAAATCATTTCATTAAAGCTAATATAAAATGTATTATTCTTTTGGAATATACTAAAAAAATGAGTCATATAAATTGAGACAAAGAAAGTATAACTTAAATGAGAAGAAGTTGTTCGGACGTTAAACAAGGAAACTCTTTTACTATTAGTAGATTAAGCAAATGGAGTACTACAAGTTTTAAGTAGTACTAATGAACAATTGCTTGAAAGCATTAACATGTGACAACCCACATCCTAGTAAAAGGTAAAAAAACCTAGAATTCTACGAACAAAGACTCAAATAATTATCATAAATTTAAAAGATTGTACTCAAAGTCTTAAACAAATGAAAATTGGGTTCCCCAAGAGCCCTATAATAGAGTAATAAATTCATAATCACAGAAAACTAATCATTTTGAAATAATAAAGCCCATCATCACTTATCACTCATCACCATCTACCCCAAAATCATCATAATTCCATGTTCCACTTTTTCTTAAAATAAAGAATCTTTCCGTTTGTTAAATTATTTATTTTCCGCAGACAAAATCATTACAACTTTTACTGTAAAAACATTAAAAGAAAAAATATACTATTATTTGTTACTCTATTAACAATGGAGATAATGGTAAAAAAAAACAAATTTGAACAATTACTCTTTTTTTTTCTTCAGTCGTTAATTGTTTTTCTTGAATTATCACAAGTTCTATTTTATTTTTTTTAATTTCAACTATTATCATTTATATATTTAAAACATACTTAGTTGAGTAGATGATGATAATTTAGATAAAAAAATAATAATTGATAGTTGATCTAATCCATTTCAATTGGTGTTTTAATATAGATGGTGATAGTTCAAATAGAAAAGACAAACAACTAATGGTTAAAGTGTGAAACTCATAAAAAGATTATAATTCAAATGTGTTTTTAACTCTTTATAGTACTAGTACTAGTAACACTAATAAATATTCTTTGTTCCATATTATTTGTTTACCTTTTCTTTTACACGTTCTTTAAAAAAAATCGTAAATAAAAAAGACATTTTTATTAATATGACATTTAATGTGTTTTAATACACTAACAATCCAAATCGTAGTCGGTGTTCGTCATTTAATTAAGCACGGCGTGGTCTGCTAGTCGTGTTAAACCATCCAAAAACCTCCGGGTGGTACAAACTAGATTGCCTCCGTAGAAGCAGGAAGTAACCTAACCTTTAAGAATTTGTTCAAGGGAGGACCCTCTGATCTATCAATGGAAAGAATAAGATCTCCATGTGTGGCGTGACAAGAAATCCTATTTCATTTTCTGATTTCAGGCTCTAAAGCACGAGCATTAAGTTACTTATGGAATCTAAGATCTCTCTCGACACGGAGAACTTCTCGAATGTCATTACGAATGATTACAATTTCATCAATACATACTAAAAGAAATAAACATAATAGTTTTCACGTTGACGATTAAAAAAGGACAGCTTGGGATTGAAGAAAACTAGCATCCACAGAAGCAGATTTGGCAAATCCATTTCGTGTGGCTTGTTAAAGTCCATAAAGGGATTGATTCAAGCAGCAAACTGAGTTCTCTCCTTGTGGAGAATATCCGTGAGGGAGAGACATGTATACTTTTTTTTTTTGAAAACATTTTAAGGCTTTATGCTCTAACTTACCTTCACAACTTTAGTTATCGTTGCCGTCCAGCTTAAAAATCATTGAATTAGTTGCCGGAGAAGGAAACTTCAACCTATTTATATGTTTTATCTATTAAGATTAAGATTAATAAAGGAAGTTTTTTTTAAAATAATTTTATAGTACTTTAAAAAGAATTAATTTAGGAGTAAAATGAGAAATATTTAATTATTTTTATTTTTAACCTCATAAATTATGATAAATATTTTTAATAATATAAAGGAGTAATATGAAATTGTTGGAGCAACACATTCCCCAAATTTTCATTACGAGTACACAAATTCAAAACAATTCCCGTGAAAAGCCTAACACACTGACAACTCTCTATTTTCTCCTCTTTCTTTGTGTAGTCTGTTTTTTCTTCCTTTAAATTACCTCAAAAAGCTTACATTATTTGTTACTCTCTTTAATCCCTTTGCTTTCCTCCACTTTGAATTTAGCACCAGTTTTCAGTATGAGAAATGTCTCTATGTTTTTCTTCATTCTTGGAAGTGTAATCTTTCAGCTTTCTCAAAGTGCAACGTCTGTAATAGTTGATGGAGTTTCACTATGGAAAAATCCAATTGTCCACATTGGTGATTCCATTAGTAAGTCGTCTTCTTTATACTATTATTTTGCTGTTTTTGGTACCTATTTTATTTGACCAAAATTATTTTCTTCAGTTTTTCAGCATAAGTATGAGTATAATGTGTACATTTTCAAGAATCAGAATGCCTTCAATGTCTGCAATTTCACTCAAGCTACACTTCTTACTAAATCTGATTCCAAGTCTTATACTGTAAGTTCCTCTTTCACTTTCTGTTGCTACCATCTGCCTTGAAATTTGAATTTGAACATGTATTTTACTTACATTACAAGTGAAAGTCCAATTTTTGACAACTTCAAAACATTTAACAAACAAAGCCCAAAATCTATGGTGAAACCTAGCTTCATGTGCGTGTTAAAGATTCAACTTTTTGAAAGTGCCACTAACTTCTTCAGCATATCGAACTTCACATTTGAAATTGAAAAGGGTGTTAGGGAATTCTTTCAATTGCTGCATAATTTCAAGATTCAAGCTTGAATTTACGCCAAAGTCTGAAATTTCTTGTAAATAACTTCAATTTCTTCCAAATTTTCAAGATTCAGGACTAGAATTCAAAAGGGTATCTTCAGAATTTTAATTTTTTTCTGATGAATTAAGTAATTTGCAGTGGCACCCATCAAGGCAGGGTGTTTTTTACTTCTCATTCAACAATGGGTCAAATGCAGCATGTTTACAAGGCCAAAAGCTAGCAATTAAGGTATCTCTTTCGACTCCGGCGGCAAGTCCTAACTCCTCGCCGGCAAATCCACCGGCGATATCTGGCGGCGTTGTGTCATCTTCTCCGGCATATCCATGGCCGTTTCAGCCGCGAGAAGCCACTCCCCCTAGCCCTTCACCGAGTGCTCTGTTCCCGGCAAATGGGCCAATGGTACCGGAAAAAGGAGGTGAAATTCCGTTTATTAACAGTAATCCGGCGGTTCCATTGCCAACCGGTGAAGTAGATTCTGCCACTATCCGGCCTTTGCCAACTTCCGGTTCTAATCACCAGGTAATTCATCAAATTGATATTACTTCGGCGTCAATTTATCTGACATGGTTTGATTCATACAAAATAATAGAAAAAAAATTAAAATTAAATATTTCTAATCATAGAATATATGATTTTTTTGGGCACATTAAAAAAAAAGTGTCAAGAAATTTAAATATATTCTGAATAATTTAATACATCAAGAATTTGGTTAAAGGTATATGCATATAATAGTGAGTCATCATGTCCAAAAAGAAAAAGGTAATAGAAAGCAAAAGGAATAGTGGTAAATTGATTTAGCATTTTTCTTTTTTGGGACGAAAGTGCTTAATTTGATTTTTGCGGTCCATATAATATAGTACTTTTTTAAGAGGAACGAAATAACTCGATCAAGAGGAGAGGAACAAAGAACGAAACTTTACGACCAATAGTTTGCTCAAAAAAGAGAGAATTAATTCCAGAAATAACTACTGGTTGACTGCTAACTATTTTTTCATTTATTACTTTTAAGGTTAACCTTTTTTTATTTATTAATTAGGAGTATTGTTAACATCTTTATTACTATTTGTTTTTTTCTCTCTTCTTTTTTTTTTTTAAAAAAAATCTCTTAATGACTTTTTCCTTTTTTTTTTTGGTTAGTCTATCTTCTTTTTTATTTTTCTATTTTTTTTTAATCTTTTTCTTCTTTTATTTTAAATTAAAATAAATTAGACTATAACAAAAAATAATAGTGAAAATTACGAAAATCACTAATTTATTTAATTAAATCAAATTTACAAAAAAATATGTCTATGATTTATTTATTTGTTGCAAATGTAAACAAAAGTTATATCTAAAATATGACTATTTTTTATAGTAACTTGTTTTACAAATAAAACTTGTTAAAATTATATAAAAATTCAAATAGCAAAACTAAACTTAAATTTCTATTTGTTCTTATTGTAAATTTTTTGAACAAATGAATATGTATGTGTGATATCTTGTCAGTATATGATATATACATATACATGTTATAGAGGATTGAATAATATTTTTATGAAGGAATAACGTTGTAATATATGAATTGATACTCTGTTATGAAATGATATATATCTTGCGGTATCACATTTGATTGAGAAGTAACTTTTTCAAGTAATGAACTTGTTTCAACGTTACCAAGTCAACATATGATATATATACCATGTATAGATGATTGATCTTTTTTTTTTTTGGAAAATAAATAAATTAGTTAATTTTGATATTTTTGTAAATATATGATATATCATCTGAGTCAGTTATCTATGGTACCGTGTTAGTATATATATATATCATGTGAAAATCATAAAGGATTGAGTTATTTTGAAAGATGGATCATTCTTATAATACCATATCAGTATATTATATGTGAGTATCATAGATAATTGATAGTACAATATTTTTTTGAAGGAATAAATTTGCCTTCTAAAATACCCCGTCAGTATATAATATATCATCCAACATTAATTAATTGTCATTAGATTTGATGTCACTAAATATTTTAAGGACATTTTAGTGAGTGCTAATTGCCGCTAAAAATGCAATTTTAGCGGCAATTAAGCTATTGTCTCTGAAGATAATTTTTGGTGTAGTGTAAACCACACAAAAAAGAGATTCAAACTAATATAACTTAAAATTTTAAATTTTTTTTAGGATTTTTGAAATTTCAAGAACGAACCCAAAAAAAGAAAAGAAAAAAGAAAATAGAAAAAGATGACAAAAAAGAAGAAAAAGAAAGAGGGGAATTTAATTAAAAATAACCTAAAAAGTGAATGAAAAAGAAAAGAACAAAAGGGACAAAAGGAGGCTGATGATAGTGGTACTGATTAGATTCATGATTAGTTCTAATTTTATTTTCATTGATGTTTTTAAGTACTTAATTAATTAATTTAGTTTTTTCTAAAAAAAAATTTGGAAATGCAGGTGGTGGGGTTTTCAGCAATTCAAAGAAGTGTGTGCTTTGCAATTTTCTTAATGATGCTTTAGACAATGCAAAAAGGAGAGAGAGAGAAAGAGAAAAGTTTGAAATGTAAAAAGAGAGATTCCACTCTTGGGATGTAGTTTTGAATCTAAAGTAGCTTTAAAAGGGGGTGATTATCATCATGATTACTACTAATATCATCTGTAATATTGCTATCCTTTGATCCTACTTTGGTCTTAGTTTAGTCTTGGCACCTTATCATTTTACTCCTTCATGTTTTTTGTCAACAAATACTATTCCCTTCGTCTCAAATTATTTGTCATAATTATTAAAATCAAATTATTTGCCATTTTAGATGGGACTTACGAACTAATACCTCTCGGTGCATTTTTAGCGCGCCTAGCCTTGAAGCTCTTCTCAGAACTAGCATAGTGTAAAGAAATAGATCCTGAGTCTAACTTAACTCCAAAAGTTAGCTCACGAGGAGACAATTGTCCAAGTCCAAATTTGGACCTAATTCAACTCCAAAAACTAACTCATATGAGAAGATTGTCCGCCCATGAAAAGAGATCGTCCATCTCTTTTATTTTTCATCTGATGTGAAACTCATCGACACATTAATAAACGCCTTTAAAACACTGGTATTAATAAGGCCTAACAAGAATATGTTTGAAGATTCAAGATTGGTAGCATCCTTGTAGTGACCTAAAAGCCCACGACCAAATGTTCCAACAATTCAGGTTTTAATGTATAAAGCCCAAGACTATAGTCTATAGCTATGGTGGCAACTGTTCATTTAATAAGCACATTGTAGTGAGCTAAGGAGATATGTTAAATAGAATTGCAATTTGCAAGGCAGGCTAAAAAAGTTGTTTGGTAGGTAATTAGAGTTATACAGAAATTAATGAATTAGTTATGAGTGAATCTATGTACTCCCTCTGTCTCTAATTACTTGTCCACTTTTCATTTTTTGGTTGTTCCTAATTACTTGTCCGTTTTGACAAATCAAGAAAAGACAAAAAAAATTACCTATTATACCCTCAATTAATTTCTTTTTAAAAAATAGAACTTCTTGAAAATCTCAAGTTTTTAATTCATCCACTTCATAATTAATAGGGGTAAAATAGTAATCTCACTATGTCATAATTGTTTTATTAATAGGTGTGTCAATTTAAAAGTTGACAAGTAATTATGGACAGAGGGAGTATTATTATTTTATGCAGATATTAGTTATTCCATCTCCTATCCACATAAAATAACACATAGATTTCCTCGTAACTTACACATATACGCATTAGTTATGTGAGTTTTTAAATTGTCAACCAAAAGTCATATTAATTTTATTTATGAATAACTTATTTCCTATCTACCTACCAAACGACGTAGAAGTTGTGCGAAAATTAACATATAAATAACTTATTTCTTATCGAGCAACGAAATGATCATAATTAAACGAACACACCTTAAGAAAAAGTGATACAAAGTGCTCATAATAATGTTATGCTTTTAAAGGCTCAATTACAAACTCATAACCACACAACAAATTGAACCTAGTAATCACCAAACTCTCTTTTTACAATCAAATGAAAAAAGTAAAAAAAAAAAAAAGCAAACAAGAGTTGCAGAAAATAACAACATTCATGCTATGTTGTTAGCCTTTTAACCTTTTCTTTTCACAGATTGATTCTTAGTTCTTATGAGATGAATGACAAAGACAACAAGAGATAATATTAAGGCTGATCCAGCTGCAACAATAGGCACACAAATTTTTGAGCTCTTCTTAGGCACATTGTCATTGTCATCTTCCTTTTTCCTTGATGTTACACTAGCTTGATCATCTTTATGTTCATCCCTCGAACTCGATGATTCAGGTTCATCATGACCTACAAAATCTCCGCGAGGCTCGTTGCTCTGGATGTTTGAGTCTACATTTGGTATTGATTCATCCTTAACAACGTGTTTTTCGACTACTTCACGTGGTTTTTCTATGCTTTCTAATACATTCTCCACAATTTCTTTCTCCTTTTCTTGATTTTCCTCTGCTTTTGGCTTATCCATATCTTCTTTAAATGTGACCTTTTTAGAAATTTTGTTACCTACAATTGGCAATTCTTCATGTTCCTTCACTTCAACAAATTCAATTCCAAGAATCCCTTTTACTTTCTTTGGCATTTTAACTGTCAATATGGATTTTTCATCATCAAATCTAGCCTTAATTTTATCCAAGATAACCCCATCTGGAATCTTGAAAGCCTTACTAAATTTTCTAACTTCTACATCTTTTTTGATCAATTTCCACCCTACCATCACAGTTTCTTGAATCAATTTTTCACCCCTTATCGCGATAATAGTCCCTTCTTCATTAATATCAACCTTAATGTTTTCTTGTATATAACCTATATACAGAGTTTTTACATATTAGAAGCAAGTACAAATGAACATGAAAATGGAAAAAAATTACTATGTGTATGATGAAGAGAAAAATTGACCTTTCAAATGGACAGTAAGGATGAACATTGTGTCTGTTTCTGTAGACTGGAAAAGAGGGCCAGCTCTGTCTTTTGCAAATTGGAATTCAGTAGAGGAGGATTCATTTGCAACTCTTGTAAGTTTGAGTCCCATTTCCATTTCCATTTTTCGCGGTTTTTCGCTACAAGAACTTTGATTATGCAAGATGAAATAAAGTTTTTTTTCAAGTCCAAAACAATGCAAATGCATATGCTTAACATAAACATGAGAGAAAAAGAACATATACTTTGCTTCATGACAAATTATACTTTGATTCAAGGATTATAACTTGTTATAGATGAAAGTTTGTTTTCTAAGTTTTGTCAAAGTTTGATGAAATTATTGACGACAATAATAACATACTCAGTGTAGTTTCACAAGTGGGGTTTGTGTGGTGTGTCTTGTGGGATAGGCAAGCAAAAAGGAAAAGGCCTTGTCAAATATGTGCACATTGCCTTCCAATTGGACTTCATTTGTACTACACAATGTAACACTTTTTAAGTTTAGTATTGCATACGATTGATTCGCAATTCTTTTTGCAGCTCAAACTCTATCAATGCTTTACAAGGCACACTTTTTTCAAATTATTTTTACTATAGGTCAAGTGACACTAGCATAAAAAGGCACCATCAAATATGAATAGGTCCTAGCCTATGTTTAATATCTTCCAATAATATTATTCTACTTTTGTTTAACATCGTACTAATAAGTTGGATCCAGAATTTTAAGTTTATGATTTTTAGATCACAACTTTTTTGTTTACTCGGTTTTGAATATATATTTTAAGACATATTGCCCCAATATATTTTCTAAACAAAATATGACATTTGAGCCAAAGCTATTGAGTTCTGTCTAATCCTTAACTTTACAAATCCACAATTAAAATTACTATTTAACTTCTTCTAGAAGTTCTCTAATTTAGCATTAGATGTGATTCGAAGTATTATCTACTATAATACAGAAAGATTTAGGGTCACAAAGACGAAGTATATCGAAGCAATCACGATATGCAAGCAAAGCTCATGACCTACTTGCAAAGTCTTTAGCTAAATGTTTCAGTTTCAAATTTTCGTTATCTTTAGTAGGAAGTGTTTTTATGTTCAAAATGCAAGTTTCTAATGCAATTCGATCTAATCAAGCTACTCTTGTGTCAAGTTAAGATGTCTATATGGTAATCGACAAAGTTAAGATGTATATGTGATTGTTATGAACAATTTTAAGTGACCATCTATATATTTCCGCTTTTATATTATATAAAATCTATTTTCTTGTTTCCAATTATTAATAGAAGATAAAGATGAAATATAGGGCAATTCTGTGCAAAGCATCTCAGAATATACACTAATTGAAACCGTTTTTTTAACTTTGAGTTATCAATTTAAAAATTAGCTCAAATCTTCCTCAAATTGTCTCCAAACAACCCCAAAATTAATATTCAAAGCCCATTAAGATGTTTCGAACAAAATTCGATATCATCCAATTAAAATAAATCACAACTACGCTGATCAAAAGATTTCGAACCAAAGTTCAATGGTCTTTAATAATATTTTCAAGTTTCTTTCTTCAAACTTAAGCAATATTTTCAATGTTATATTCATATTTTTTAAGAAGCAAAATGTAGCGTAGTAGTAGATCTCCGCTCGTATCCTTGGTGGTTGGAGTTGTTAAATTTTAGATTTCATAGTCATATGATTTCAATGCTTTTAAGAGTGAGTGGGTGGGTGGGAGTGGGGGAGATGAGTTTGACATGATGTCGATAAATGGTAAAGGCTTAATATGATGGCTAATTTCTCATAAAGACACTAACAATTCTATTGGCCTTGCACATTTATCCTAAATTGGACATGTAATATAATGTTGCATACTTTCTTAACACCAACTTTTTAATAAAACTTGTGGATACAATAATTGAAGAATGAAGTGATAGGCCTCCAACTTAAAAAGTTATATAAAAAAAATCAATGATAAGACTATAGAGTCAGTTATGATCCATTAAGCTAGCTCAGACTTGGATATGGGTTTCCAAATCCATGTGATGTGTTTGTGTTGGATTTAACTGAGTCTTATATGCTCTTGGTCCATCAATCAATTGGGATATGCATGTTCTACTCAAAGCTGATGGATCTAGATTAATAACAGAGTCCTGTTCGATCAAGCTTCTGAAAAGTCAAAAATATTTATCTCTCGTCTTGCTTCGCTATTTAAATTTTAAATTATGTTGTTAATTGTGAATTGTGATCACTCACTTGTTCTAAGTTTAACTTGTGTATATAAAATAAAATAATTCTGAGGATTAGTTTCAATCAACTTAAAGTTCAAAAATAATCAATTCATTCCACAGTTGTGTGTTTTATCACTTTAAAAAATGAGTGAATGAAGTGAAAAGATTGTGATTTTGGAATTGTGAATAACAATAAAGTATTTACAAGAATATTTTCTATAATAGAAAAAGACTGTCATCATTTTTTTTTGTTTTTCACCCGATGTTCAGTATCTATATTAGATCCCGATAAAATCCGAATTCGCATCGGAAAGTCCCACATTGAGGGTAAAGCGCTCCCTAACAAAAATGACTCCGTACCCAAGAGGGCTCAAACCCGAGACCTCTTGGTTAAGGATGAAGGAGTACTTACCACTCCACCACAACCCTTATTGGTAAAGACCGTCATCATTTATTATTATTATTATTATTATTATTATTATTATAGTACTAAAAGAGAGAGAAAACCAACTTTTGGTAATTAAAGCATAATAAAAA